ACAAGGAACAAAGAAACATAGAGAAAAGTATCTATTTTCGCTACAGTGTCAGCAAGATGATTTATTTCTCTGCAGAGGGGGGCCACTCAGTGTCACAAAGACAGAGAGTTCCCCCCGAACTGAGTTTACAGCTTGGTATTTATACATTAAGGATTGCATTGCTACATTGTTGCGCATGCATTCGGGTTTTTTTCCTTGCCGTTACAAAATTACAAGACACGGTACAGAGCAAGCTTGGGCCGGTTGAGACTGGCTTTGCGGTTACACATTACTGTCAGCGAGAAGTACACGTCACTTACTGTCAGCAAGAGGCGATCTTTCAATTTTAGGGGAAAAAAGATCATTTGCTTTTTCAAGGGTCATCTGCTTTTTATGATCGTATTGCTGTTTTCTCTTACACTGGCAGGAAAACTGCTGCTCCTTTTGCCCAGAGAAGGCTTTGAGCAAGTGTGGCCACACCAGGCTTTTTCCTAAAATGGAGCATGCCATGTCCAGTCTCCCCTCACAGAAGTAAACAAGCAGACCTAAGTGGCCACCTTTCACTTGTAATTCTCGAGCCCACCGCCCCACCCACTCTCTTGCCATTGTTTGTGGCTCTTGTTCATTGCATCTTGTTAGAAATATAGGTAGGAAACAATTTGGGGAAGGGACCATACTGTGGGACCCCCTGGCATATTCAGTCCAGAAAGAGGGAGCCATTTTTCAAAACCCAGGCATCTCCTTTGCTTTTCAATTACAGATTACTTCTTGCAGGCCTCATGGCTGAAATTATGGCTTCGTTTTCCATAATTAGGTTTTGCTTCAGTTTGTAAAACATTTTTTTTACATATTTCATTTGCCTTCTCCTTTTATTCCCCAGGGTGCAATGGCCTCCCTGGTCCCAGCAAGTATCATGCCCAGATCCTTCAATTATAACCTAAGGGAGGAATCCTTATGGCTCCGTACAAACATTCAAAAAACCTGAGGCAGAATCAATCCATGTTATGTGGTTTCCTGTAAGCAGTGTAGTTTAGATCAGTAGGGCACACAACAAAGATTTGCCTGGGGGGGTACAGATCTTAGCCTGGCATCCACCGTTTTTAAACCAATCTGTGTGCACCAAATTGCTGTTCTGTTACAAGTATAGACTGGTTTTGTGTGCTGAACTTCTGTTATGAGTACAGATTGGTTTCCAATCATTTATATTGGTAAAAGTGTCATGTTTGTATCTGGCGTATGGCAGAGCTGGCAGGCAAATTTGGTCACAAGACACTTACAGGAAGAGTGTGTGTGTGTGTTATGGACACCAAGTCTGTCACACACTCTCCAGTGCTTGAAAATGGATGCAGCCTAGAGTCCCTCGCCTTTTGGACTCCTTCATACATTTGGTCTACTCGTAATCTCCAAGGTAGGGTAGGAGCACCCTTTCTCCTCTCCACTTGAAGTAGAAGCTCCCCTCCCTTCCCTCTCCTTACCCTTATGCTGGCTTCCTCCCTCCATAGTTCATGGCTGCAAATATTTCCTTTGGTTGATGAGATAGGGAGCATATATTATCCCATGTAGAGCGCCAGGAATTCTGTGCAACAGCTGGCATTTGGTGGAATGAGTTACCTCGCTGTGCTTCTGCCACTTCTAAGGCATTACTTTGTCATGACGCAAACTGGAGACACTACTGTGTCTCTTCTACTTCCAGGTTTCTTCCTGATCAGCTGTCTCTTTCTCCAGGTTTTCCATTTCCTGCAGAAAAATACAGGTTTCCCCTTTAAAGGAGAAAAATGCAGATTTTCCCCATTGAAGCGGGAAAACACATTTCCCCTTTTGCAAACAGCTCTCTGCCGGCTGGCAAAGTTCCAGCCTACAATGAGCTGCTTGCAAAAAGGGCGCGAAACCCTAAAACCTGTCCATAGGTGGGGGGAGGGGACGAGGCCTGAGAATCCGAGACCAACCAGGGCTGGCTCAAACTCGCTTTGCTCCTGCAGCTTTTGGGGTAAGCAGGGCCTGGGGGGCAGCTGGAGCTCCTTCTGGCAGGGGGCTGAGTTGGGAATGAGGAAGCCAGCAATTTCCTGATCCCTGCGCAGCCCATCACTCTATTTTGCGAGTTTTGGAGCCCACTGATTGCCCCTGCTGGAAAGGGCGGGGGAAAGGAAAGCCTGGTGACAGGCAGGGCAAATGGGATGGAGGGGAGGGAGAGGAAGAGGAGAGGTAAAGGGGGGTGCACCGTGGGACTAGGTGGAGTCTGTCCCAGCCACCTTTTAGCCCCTGCCAAGCGGGGGCTGCTGCTGCCTGCCTGCTGCTCCCATGCAAATCCCGTCACTACGCCACTACCCCGTCCCGCTGCTCCCAGGTGCTCGCTGCCCAGATGGTTCCAGAAGGTGGTGGCAGGGGCATCAAAGCGCTCCGGGCTGGTAATGGTTGGGGTGGCTGTGGTACATCCCAGCAGAGTGGCTCCGGGATCTGCAGTGGGGACAGGTGCAGGGGCTGGCCGGAGTTGCAGTGAGCCCGCAGTTATCAGCCCCACTCCCCTGGGCTGCGCTGCACCCACTGCTGCTATCTGGAACCATTTGGGTGGTGAGCACCTGGGAGCAGCAGGGCAGGGGTAATGGGGTGGACACTGCAGTGGGCCAGGGACTTGCGTGGGGTCAGCAGGTGGTTGGCAGCAGCCCCCACTTGGAGGGTTAAAAGGCAGCTGCAGCAGACTCTACCTGGCCCCCGGGTGGTCCCTGCTGCACTTCCATCACATTCTCCATTCCTCTTCCCCATCTCCTCCCTTTCCCTCCCTCCTCCTGCCTGCAGCCAAGCTTTCCTTGGCTGGGGAATGGCAGAAAGAACAGGGGCACTGTCAGGGCTGTGGCTTGAGGGTGAGAGGCAATGGCATGGGCAGGACACTGGCATGTCAGTGGCACAAAGCAGTGAGGGGGACAACCATAGTTGGCCCCACGTCCTGGTGCAGTGGGGAAGCTGCTACCAGGAGGTAAGCAGGGGCTATGGGTCAGGAGTGAGGGGCATCTGCAGGGCTGGGGGGGGGGCTGTAGCTTGGAAGTGAGGGGCAATGGCATATCGGGACATCTCAGGGGAGGGGCAGGAGTGAGAGCCACAACTGGACCCACACCCTGGTGAGTGAAGGGGGCAGGGGGAGCTCTGATTTTCCATGATAAGTTATAGAATTTATTTTATGATGATTGAGGCACTGGTAGGCTTCCAAACCACTTTAAAATTGTAAATATTTCAATAAAACCTTGTGTGCAACTGATACCTATATATAGTGGCGTTTCATAGATTTCACAGGCATTAGGGCTGGAAGGGACCTTGCAAAATCATCGAGTCAAATGATCCCAACAAGATAGGCATCCAAGTATTTCTTAAAGGAATCCAGAGTAGGTGCCTGCACCACTTCTAGGGTAAGTCTATTCCAGGCCCTGGGGACTCGGACAGTAAAGAAGTTTTTCCTTATGTCCAGCCTAAAACGGTCTTCCAAGATTTTGTGACTGCTGGACCTAGTTTTCTCATGGGGTGCCCTGGTGAACATATGTTCTCCCAATTCTCGATGCACACCCCTTATATAGGCTGCCACCAGGTCACCCCTGAGCCTACGCTTTTCCAGGGTGAAGAATCCCATGTCTCTGAGCCTCTCCTCATAAGGCCTGCTCTCTTGTCCTCTAATCATTCATGTGGCTCTCCTCTGGACTCTCTTGAGCTTCTCCACATCCTTTCTGAATTGCAGAGCCCAGAACCAGACACAGTATTCCAGTGGTGGTCTCGCCAAGGCTGAGTAAAGCGGGAGGATGACTTCCTGGGTCTTGTTTGAGATGCATCAGAAGATGCAGGCCAGTTTTTTTGCTTTGCCGGCTGCTACATCACATTGGTTTCTCATGCTCATCTTGAGGTCAATTATGACCCCAAGTCTCTCTCAGATGCCGTGCTAACTAGCGTAGTACTGCCAAGCATATAAGTGTAGCGTGGGTTCTCTCTCCCAAGGTGGAGCACTTTGTTTCTTGGCATTGAATGCCATCAGGTTTTGATACACCTGCCTTGTAAGCCTGTCAAAGTCAGCCTGGATTGCCAGCCTATCCTCTGGGGTGGCTGCACTTCCCCATAGTTTGGTGTCATTTAATAGTGGAAAAATGCAGATTTGGGGGGTAGTTAATCAGAGAATTTCAGATTTTTTTTAATCAGAAAAACTCGGTTTTTTTAACAGAGAAAACCAGGTTCCCTACAAATCAGCAATCAGCTCCTGGACTGCAGTCTCCTGTGGTGAGGGCAGCATTAAAGTCAGTTGGCTGGTGGTGAGGATGGGAATGGGCAAGTTCTTTTATATTTAAGCTCCGAGTTTGAAAAATGATCTTAAAGAGAGGGGACCTTGCAGACTTAGCACATCTCCAGCGGGGATATAACTCCTGAAATGACAGCCTACTGTTAATGGGACAACTGGACAAAGAGGTGTATAAAAGGTTTTATAACTGTGGCTGCGTTTGGGATTAGCCACATTTCTGGTGGGAATGAATTCCTGAGTCAGGAGATTGTTACTGAGAAGGTCCTGGTCTGTGCTCTCCAGTTTCCCTTCTTAGGCCATGCAATTTCTTCAGTCTGTGCCAGTGAAGCCAATAAACAAACAAACATATTCACTGATATCAGATGGGCTGTAGATTAGGCCCCATAAAAATCCAATACATCTGGGCACATCACTGATTGCAGTTTTTCTTCATATTTTTCAGCTGTAAATGGCTGCATCAGAATAAACTAAAATAAAAACAAGGCTGCATCTTCACTATAGAGATCCATTATGCTTTATTTACATGCGTCACCATCTCTTTTACAAACTAGATTACAATTTAAAATGGAATACACAAGGCAATATCTACGAACACTGAGTGGAGTAAGCACTGCATCTCTACTTCATTTGGAAAGGGGGAGATTCCCAAAACAAACTTGTTTCCAATCTTTGTGTAGCAAGGTAGTATATTCATCCAGGGCAGCATTTATTATTATTATTATTATTATTATTATTAATAAAAAAACCTTAGAAAGAATGCAACATGATAGTGTCTTCTTTCAAATGAAAGTAAAACATAGTCCAAATGAAAATGGATACTGTTCAGTTCTTTAGTTTGTATTCGGCCATGCACTATAAGGCTGTGAATTTAATATTCTTCCAGTTGTATATGGATTGAAACAAAAACAGATCAAACAGTTTTACAGATACTGTATACATATTTTTTCCAATCATGCAACTTTTAAAAAAAGTTTTAACATATTAAGCCAAATGCACAATCCTGTTTTCCAACCCATATTAACTAAATATATCTGGTCCCCCTTCACTTCTGTTGGCATTCCTAACGTACACTAAGTACTAAAACAATTGTAGGTGACTCATTGCCAAGCAATGCCATTATTTTAAGAAATACAGATCCTAAATTTTGCTTTTTAAAGCACTCATACAATTATTTTTGGAGTTAGGCAGTGGCCAATAACCAATTATTAATACGACAACGTTTCTCAAAGAATATTAAATAAAAACAGATGCATGCAATTGTCCAAACTGCATAGACATGACTTGTTCAGAACTTTTTAAACAAAGAATTTAAACAATGTCCTATATATTTCTTCTGAGACTACCTGTCGGACATGATTACAGGAGGAAAATTTTACTCCTTAAAAGCATTCATGGAATCAAAGGCCAAACTTTTCAAAAATACAGTTTTGTGAAATTAGTCACTTGAATCCATACCTGACAGTGGCTCTTTGAATTCTATAAGAATTTTCATTATTCAGCACCTCTGGAAGCACCTACATTTAAAGGCTGAAATTTTTCCAACAGGGCAGTAAGAATTAGGTACACTACTCCCACTGAAAAGCAATGAGTAGAGCACATAACTCCTCCAGATCCTTTTAAAATCCCAGCCTTGGTTGCTTGACTTGAGGCACTTATGTTTCAAAATTTTGGCCACTGAAATCAGAGACAGAAAAATCCTAATAAGTGTCCACTTCTCCCCAGCAAGTACAGGCTCTTCCTCTACAAAGGAGGCCCAACCTACACTACGCAGGCCAAGGAAAGTGACACCATCAGAGACAGAAGGAGTAGGATCAAGCCCATCATTTAAAAAAAAAAAAATAAGGTTTTTTTTTTTTAAGTTTCTCTCCCATTGATTGGTTGCTTCTGAATCAACTGCTCTTCCTTCATGGTCTAAACAGAGAGGATCACATTTTCTTCTCTCATCTATGCCACTGTAAATCCAGATTTAACTCCACTTATTTCAGTGGAGTTATTCTGCGTTCTGATTGCTTTAACACAGCAGAATTTGGCCTGGTCTTTTCAAACAAACTCCTTCCCTTCCTTTCGAGAAGACTAGCTTCCATACCTATAAAAACTTAAAGCCGCTAGTTTGTGTCCCCTCAGGCCTAACACTGAACACAACTTGTTCTCTGTTGTCAGTAAGGAGTCATGACTCAATTCTGCCATATCTATGCAGATAACTCCATTGGCTTTTAGGGGAGACTTCTACTGAATAAAGATTGCAGGATTGTGTACAACTGTAAATCTGGAACCAATTTTTGCTCACCAACTTCAGTCCCTCTCTCCTTCAAAACATGGAAGGGGGGTGCAGGGGTGAACATCTGAATGTGTAGAGTACACTTGCAATCTGTGACTGTACAGCAGGGATCCAGGAAATGAAGCCAGCCATTCCTCACTGCAGACAGGACATAGAGGCAGTGCAAAGGCTAAGTGTGGCCCAAGTGCTGAACTAGCAGCTGTGGAGTGGCTTGAAGAAAAGAATTCCTCCAGGCCGCAAGAGCAATGTGATAGAGGACCAAAAAAATGGGAAAAATACCCTCAGCCTAACTCACATTTAACGATGTACCTAAAAACTTGGCAGATAACATTACACACACCGCGTGCAATGAACAACTGTCATGAAGCTCTATACTAACTTTGGTAAAAGATACCTACAGCTGAACTCTTAAGAGAAACAGACCCCTAAAACAGATAACTGTAGGACAACACTATCAACCTGGGGAACTGGCTACAAGAAGTATCTTCTCAAGGGGAGACACCAATATTATTCATTAGTTAATTCTGATGAAGAAAATTCCCTAAACTAGAATCTGCCATTAACAAATACACCACCTTAATTAAAAAAAGAAAGGTTTGCTGTTTTTACTGATAAACTCTCAGCTGCTTGGAAGAGTTGATATGCTAGGGGTCTACTATAACCACAACTGCACAGAGTTTACATAGGCAGTAAACTGCATGATGAAATCAACAGGTTCATCTAGAAAATAGAACAGCACAAGCCTGAGGAGGTTACAATACAAAACAAAACTTCCATCACACTAGGAGCTGTTATATCACCGGTATTACCTCAGGAAACTGAAAAGTAAGGAGCAAGATGGGGCCCACAAATGGGTACAGGTGCAAGAGTCTCTGTGCGTGCACTTGTGTGTAGGTGTGTGTGCATGGTGGCCAAAAGGAGTCACTCCACATTGCATGGTACATATGTCAGTGGGAACTCATGCACTGAAACTTTGGGTTAAAATGCTAGCTTGTCTTCCTAACATTCATGCATAATGATCTGTTTCTGTACATAATAAAATATATTTATATATTTATATGCATAATGCTTTTATGCAAAGAAAAAAAAAACTTCATATATCACTTTGGAGAATTATGTATACACTGTCCTATTCAGAGCTTTTTCATAGCAAGTTCTTATGTACCATTGGTGTTTTCTCCCCTTTATTCCTCCCCCCCGCCAAAATATACTAATAAAAAGTAATCAAAATTTCCAGATTATAGAGAGGATCTATACAGCACCATACCTTTTATTCATTATTATTCATTCATTATTATTTATTTTACAAAAGAAACCCATATAAGCAAAATATATAAAACTGCCTCGTCTTTCAGTGTCATTTATCCAATTACAATCTACACCTACATGAAAAGCCATTTGTATGATATTGCTTCCTTGCCTTTCCCTCTCCGTGCTTCTTCTTACAGATTGGATTACGCATAGTGAGAAGGAAAAAAATAATCAAGGATATGTTTGTAAGAAAAATCACTGATGCAATATGCTAACCCTGCATTGATTTGTGTTTGAACTTCTGAGGTTTCTGCTACAAGTCACTGCTGATGTGTGCACTGTGAGCGTATCTTTTCTGCACCATAGTACATTATCATTTCCTCTGTTTTTCTTTTTTAAACCAGATCCTCACCAGTTATGGTCAACTTGCTTGGCAAGGGGTGGGCAACTCAGCTTATACCTTGTTCCAAACTGCTGAGATAGCCCAACTCTGTTCACTGCAGCCATCAGGGCAGTGGTGTTAACATAAAGCAATAGGTGAGACTCATCTGTTTTACAGCAAATCAGGTGCTGAATCTGTAAACGCTATGGAAAGCATCCTAGCTCAGGATGTACTGGACAGGATTCAACCTTAATAGTTTCCCTTGTTTTATAATCAACCCTGGTTTGAAGCTTATGAAAAACAGATGTGTACCATTTATATTTAATAAAAGATTTGAGGGGAAAAAAATCAACAAACAAACAAGAAAAACCACACACAAATCACCTCTCTCTGGAGTTCATTCACTCTTGATTGGTGTAGCAAAAGATGCACACTCAGGACCTGTTGGTGTTGGAAGCAATGTTAAGTGATGGTAATTAGCATGGACTTTCATTGTGCATCTGCTGTATCTTTGATTCACCAAGGAGAGAAAAAGAAAATGATTTAAACATCTAAATAAAAATAAACAAATTGGAGGTTATGGGGGCAGATGGGGAAACCCCCTGAAAATAAACGCCAACTTAAAACATCCCATAAACCATTAATATATTGAAACACCACAGACTCAATGACAAATAACTACTGTAAAGGCTATACAGTGTGTTCTTGACAGGATGGTGCTCAACACGGTCTCCACAATAGGTGCTTGACCATCCCAGAAAAAGAAGATTTTGCATACTTCAGAATGAGTTCAGTTCCAAAACGGCAGGATCTTCACTCGGGTAAGGGGCCCATTAACAGTCTCAGCTTCATTAGGAAAATTATGCAGGGTTCACAAAGGTCATAAGCTGTAAACAGTACTGTCCACTTGCTGACAGCAGATTTGGCAAAGGGTTCTCTCTTTATGTCTCGTGTCAGTTTAAGGGCCTGGAGGGGAAGCAGGAAAAGAAGAAAAGAAAACAAAATTATTACGGGTTAAAAAAATAAAGAACCAAAGATCAAAACCAACAGGCAATATTAACTGTTTGGTAGCAGAACACTTAAAAGTCCTCCTGCAAGAAATATGGAGTCTCATACACCAACCCTGAGTAACAGAAAAGTGCTGGCTTCTAGTATGTCAGGGTTAATGTGTGATTCTTCACTGAGTTAGTTGCTCAGAAAAACTAAACAGAACCTCTAATTAAAGAAAAACAAGGACCAAGTCGAACAACATGTGCCTAATAAAATCATCTACAAATTCAATACACTGCAAGCCGGGCGGTGGAAGGATCCAGCAGATGGTCCCTGTTCCTTACTGCTGCCCTGCATGGACTTCACAGGCTAAGTAAAGGCAGTCAACAAGCCTGAGGCTGAATCGATCCAATCTTTGCAGGTTAGTCTAAACTGCATAGATTGAACTGAGAAGCAAGTGAACAGACATTCACATTTGATTTCGGAAATGCAGCCACATTCCTGAAGTGGCTCAGGCCAGAAGATGTAGGGTGCTAAAGCACACCTCCCAGCCTGCTGGCTGTGGCTGAAGGGAAGGGAGGGAAGCCCTCAGAGGTTTTTCCCCCGCTCCCTGCTCAAGCAGAGAGGGGTTTGTGCCCAGGACCCAGCTGGCCTGCTGCATATGATGGAGATGGGGTTTTAAACCCCTACCCTGGCCCACACCGACCCCATCCAGAGTCTGCCTGGGGGGAGCAGCCCCTCCCAGGTTTTTCCACGCTCTCCACTTGAGTAAAGAACAGAGTGGGAGAGGGGAAAGACTGAGAGGGATTGTCTCCCCATGGCCAGGCAGACCCTGGCTGGGGTCCAGTGTGGCCAAGCCAGGAACCCCCTTCTCAGCCAGCCAGAGCAGTGATAGTGCTCTGGCTCCAGAGGAGAGGGGCAGGACCAACCCTGCTCCTCTGGAGCAAACAGAACAGCCCAGGGCTGCAAAGTATCCTGGGATGCTGGAGGACTGTGAGTTAACTTGAACCAGGTGGGCATCTGGGACATAAGTTCCATTAACTGGTTTGACTTAAATCAGTTCAGTCTGATAAAACATCCAACCAGGTTTATTTTAAACCAGTTTAGGCCTTTTTTAAAGTAGTTTAAGTGCTCTGGATTTCTACTGTGTTACAGATTTGAACCAGTTTTTGATCACTTAAACTAGATTAAGTGTAACTTCTGTCCCTTGCCACAGACATTACCTGAGGGCTGGATACAACTTCTCAGTCAGCAATTAAACACCACTCCAGCCATCTGTAACATGCCACCCTTGGAGTCACAGGGAGGCTTTTTGTGATGAACTGGGAAATATCCCTATTGTTTTATGGATATGGCACATATCTCTGTGCATTTGCTCCTTCTGGATTACCTGCTACAATGTAAGATCAAAAGGGGCTGTGAAAGGAACCAAGCCAGAAAGGCAAAAATGAAACAGATAATATCCCTGAGGGAGCCACAAGAAAGCTGTGTTTTCGGTAATACTCCCTACCTTACCTCCAGCGAGGCTGAGGTTTCTTCCTCTCAAGGTTAAGTCTAGAAGCAAACTCTGCAGTGCACTAGGACTAGAAAAGGGTGGGGGACTGAGTGAGTGGCATGAAGGTGCTCAGGGAGTCAGTGAGAGCAGACAGTTGCTGCCTCTACTCTGAGGCCTCCACTCTTAAGGTGCAATGTGCTGCTCATTTTATTAATATGGCCATTCTGCTAATACCAAATGACTGACAGAAAGTAATCATTTTGTCTGATGCTTATTGGAGCAACAGGATGATAACACATCCCTGCATTGTTAGAGAAGAACTTCATTCAGGCTACCCTTGAAAGCAGGCAGATTGCATATTTTAGCCAATTAAAATCTGGATTTATCCTTAATTATGCAGGTGCTTTGAACAGACTGAAAATAATGAATAAGTATATTTCTGACTGGATCCACCTATTGATTTCTTTATTTTTAAAGAATAAATTATTGGCAAACATAACTAGCAAGGATTTCACTTGATAAATACATGATGATGTCATTATAAGGTCATTTGATGATGGTGAGTCAGATCTAATACCTCATAATACAATCTGGGTGGTAACTCACATACAGCACAAAAAGAACACACCCTTTCAAGTATCAGACTCTCCCACTTTGTTAATCCAGGGTCGGGCAATTATTTTGGTTGGAGGGCTGCTTAATCAGTTTTGGTGAGCTGTTGAGGACTGCACCTGTAGCCCCATCCCTTGACGGTTGCCCCTCCCCCTGGTCACCAGATTGGGACCAGAAGTCCCTCCCCTGGCCCCACAGAAATACTCCTTTTGGGAGGGGGGAGTTGCCATCTTGGAACCAGAAAAAAAATTATACGCTAAAAGTCAAACACCTACTATAAAATATTTTAATTTTATTACAAAAAATATTTGTGCGGCAAGGGGGCAGAGAAGGCAGCTGTCTCTAGTGCAGGGCTTCCCCCGATGGCGTGCAAGTGCGGTAGCTGCAGGCACACTGTACAGAGCCCCCACAATAGAGGTGGCCCAGGTAGGCTGCACTCCTTATCCCCACGTGCAGCACTGGCCAGAGCTATGTGCCACTGGGCGCCAGCACCTGCACCAGGCATGAGAACCCTGAGCACTCCCGCTGGCTGCATGCTATGTGGGGGCATGTGTGGAAGGTCACCACACCCCCCACCATCCCTCACACCCACATGCTGCCCAGCTAAGCTCTGCGCTCCTGCTACCACTCTGGGCACAGGCTCCACACTGCTGCCAGCCCCAGCCCCATGCTCCCTGCCACTGCCCAGCTGCAGCTTGCCCCTGTCCTGCATCTGCCCCTGTCACACCAAAGTGAAGAGACCCGAGCACTCGCCCCATGCACCAAAGCGAAGGGACGCCAATAGGCGCTGCCCAGTCAGGGCAGGGTGCAGGACAGAGCCTCAAGCAGCTTGTTCAGGGGGGCGCTGAGATGGGGGTAGGGAGGCTCCTGCCACTACATTCACTCCCGGCCAAGCATGGGGGGTGTGCCCCCCAGATCTGTGCACAGGGAGAGGGCGGACTGCCGCTGTGGGCTTGCCTTGGACACCAAATGTCCTTGCTATGGTACTGCAAAAGGATATGTTGGGGGTGAGTGTATACGTGGGTGCCTTGCTCCCACCATTGTGGGTGGATGGGCTCAGCATGTTAGAATTCATTGGTGGGTGTCCATGGGCTGGATGAAAGTGCCTGGCAGCCCAGATCTGGCCCACAGTCTGTATTTTGCCCACTCCTGCATTAATCCCTTATGATTGGGGTGGGGAAATTAGTACCTTGTCTAAATCCTAATTTATTACAGGGAAAGACTCAAAAAAAGAAAATTTAAGCATCTAAAGTGCAGAATTTTGGTGTCTAAATTCACGTGAGCAATCCACAAATTCCCGTCTAACTGCTCGGAAGCCTGACAGGCTGTACACACCACCCCAAGTTTCACCAGTTAAGGTAATCAGATGCCTAAAACTCTATTACTGAATAGGCCCAGAGGTGCCACCGTCTTGGCCAAGTCAAACATCTTATAATTTCTCTCATAACCAGGCTTGTGTGGATTCACAGACTAAGTGCCCCCTCCAACTGCAAGCTCAGTTGCAGGAGGAGTAGGAGGATGTGCTTGCTTGTTAAATGATAGCCTAGTAGTTAAAAAACTTGTCCAGGAAGTAGAAGACTAGGGCTCAATGCCCTTCTTAGCCTGAGGGGTTCAAACCCATGTACTCTAGTTCAGTGGGGGCCAACCTTTTTGGCAGGCATGCCACAAACTTGCCCAGGACCCTCCCCCTGCCTAATCATTACTTTGCTTTCTGCTTCTTTCCCTGTGCTCCCTGCCAGGTTTGTTGCCCTATCTGCCACTGTGCTGCCTGTTTCCTCCCCAGTCTGCCACATGCCAGACACTCAGGCTGCCCGGGCCAGTTATGGCACCCCAAAGCCAAATGTTGGTCACTCCTACTCTAACTCATGGTAGACTGAAAGCTAGGTTGGAATGAGGAAGATGTCCCTTCCTGTTGAAGCTGTGCCATTGTGCAAGATTCACAGGGCCAGTGAAAGAGAACAAACAGGAGGAAACCTGATGCTGTAAAATCAGTGAGATCAGAGCTGGCCTTAGGGAACATGGTGCTCTGGGCAAGCTTGTATTTTGGCACCCCTCACCATCAGCACTTGACCCCCGGTGCCCCCCCAGTCAGTGACACTGCTGCAGACGGGCAGATGGACAGGGGTGCAGGGCACAGGCTGGTGGAGAGGCAGAGCAGCAAGGTGGGCCAGGCAGGTAGGCATTGCCTGGCCCAGTTCTTCCTCAGCAGCAGCTGGAAGCAGGGGGTGAGCTGGGCACTGATCCTCCTGCCTGAAGCAGAGATCAGCCAGCGGGGAAGGGCAGTGCTGTGAGTACAGGCTTCTCGTATGTACGTACATACTTGTGCATGTGCGTGTTGTATATGTGTGTGGCACCCTCGGTGGTCACCCATGTCATCCACCCCTAAGGCCAGCTCTGAGTGAGATGGGCACTCTCCCAGAAGTAGAGAGTCGGGGGACAAGGTGACCATGCCTCAGTCCCTGCTTCTAACACTGCTTATGTATTTTTGCCAACATCTTAATACATAAGCAGTGTGAGAGCAGGGAGCAGAACTTAGGGCTTCCCCTCCCAGGGACTGCCTTCATCACTGGGCTTCAGTTATGTTTCTTGCTTGCTCACTGGCTCTCTGATTCCATGAGCTTTGCATTTCTTTCTACAGAGTGCATAACTCCAATGGCAAGGACAGAATCTCCCCAGCCCAGCCTAGCTTATAGCCTGGTGTTAGGACACTCACCTGGGAGGCGGAGACCTAGATTTGAAACCCAGCCAGGTTAAAGAGGGACTGAACCTAAATTGCCCACTTCTTGGGTGAGTGCTTTAATACAGTCCGTAAAGGACGTGCCCTCGTGGCACCACTATTGGAAGCTGTGTTCTAAAATCTAAAAGAAAA